AAAAAAAAAAAAAAAAAAAAAAAAAAAAAAAAAAAAGAAAGAAAGAAGATACTATTTATTTAAGAAAACAGTGATTTTTGAGTCATTCTTGCTAGTTCTTGTGTTCCTTTATTCAGGTTTCCAAATGCTTGCATGTGGCAAAGCCATGAGAACTGCTGTTACTGTTCTTAAACTGCTTTCTGGCATTCAGTAGGAAAAAAAAAACCCCAAACCTAAACATATAATGAATAAAAATTATACAGTTGTTTGACAGGAGGCTAATTCTCCTTCCATCACATGTGGATCTGTCAGACCCTCCCTTTTGAATGGACCATTTTAYGTCACACATGAAAATACCTCTTTAGGGTGGGCAGTGCAGTGGGGCTGCAATCCATGATTTCTATCACAATTTTTGGKGACTGCCAAGTATAACCTTTTTTCCTGACAATGCTGCCAATGGAGTTGTAATCTACACCACGAGAATTTTCCAGAAACCAGAACACAGGAGTTCACTGAACAATGATTCCCTGAAAACAAACCCAAAGTGGGAACAAGAATGAGCTGTGCAGGAAGAATGAGTGTCAGAGGACTGAAAGGGATATGGTCCACCTCTGCAACACTGTAAGGTTCTTTTTTAAGGTTCTTCTTTAAGCTCAGCTCAGGCCTAGAGACATTTATTCAAACTTATGCTTTTCGTTTCTAAAAGAACTCTTTTAGTATTTGTGTTTTTAGAGGAAAGAACTGGAGATGCACGCACTGAAGTTCTGAAAGCTTAAAATCACCAGAAAAGTGAAAGCAACAATGTGGATCAAAACCTAAGCAGCTTCTTTTTAGAATAAAATGGAGATGGTATTTTCAGACTCAGCTGYTCCTTAAAGCTTAGGGCTTTACCCACACTGAGTAAAACCTAAACCATTGGGATTTTAAYGAGGTTTGGATCAGTGTTTCAATCAGTTTCAATCATTGTACAGAAGTGGAAAAATACCCAAATAATGAAAATGTGATCCAAACWGCTTCCAAAGGAAGAGAGGCCGTGACTCAGGAGAGCTCTTGGAGTTGTTTCACCCCCCAAAGCTTTGCCCCTCTCTGCTCACAGCAGAGGAAGAAGGCAATGGCACTGCATGCCTGCTTTCAAAAATGATGGACAGCAATAAATCCTGCAGCCCTTCAAGCACATTAATTGATATTGTTTCAGCGTTACACTGAAGATTAGAGGCGGAAATAAAGGCTTCACATTAATTTTGATGAATGACAGGAGAGTGCTGATCCCACCCTGCCAGCCCCCTCCTTATCCTGGTGATGCCTGCAGCAATCCCTGTCTGTTCCTGGGGTAAGGGATGTGAGGAACCAGGACCTGGGGCTGCTCTCAAGTGCTAAAGAACCAGAAAACCTTATTTGAGAGCCCATAAAAGCTGTTTTCATACAAGCTGAACCTTGCAGAAGCAGCTCCTGAGTATCAGGGTGGCATTGAACAGTCTGTTATCTGTGTTATCCTGTTATAAATATATAATATATATAATATATATAATATATATAATATATATAATATATATAATATATATAATATATATATATATCTGTTATACCTGGGTGCTATCCAGCCTCTAACGTGAACTGAATTCACCTCTTGCACAAACACAATGTCTTGAAACATCTGCCTGTTTCTGGAATTCAACTGAAATCACAGATTGCTAAAATGGCTGGCTAAGAAAGAATTAGGATGTAAGCAGAGATGGATATGAAAGAGGAGGAGAAAAAGTTCAAACCAACTGCAGAACATCCTGGAGGAATGGCAAAAGAATTAGCATGGTCAGTAAAAATAAGGCAGTGGCTTTTTCCCAGTGTGGTTTTCAAGAGTATTTAACGTTTGGGTATTTCCTTTCATTGCTTTCTGCCATCCAGACTTCTTTGTTATTTAGCTTTTCGGATCAAAAGTGGTTTTCCTCCTATAAAATCTAAAAAAAAAAAAAGTTCCTAAGGCAAACTGTATTTCTGGCACAGAAAATATTAAGCCATTCAAACAACATTCAGCAGCTTTCTCTGTCCACCCAAACAGCCCCAATGAGTACAAAACAATCCTGGGACTCCTTCGGGATCACATTTCATCCTCTACATCTCTGTTCTCGTGGCTGCTTTTAAGGTGTGTTCCTGCAGATAATGATCATTAACAGCAGTCTCTAATTGACAGCAGCACCCATTCTCTGTCAATTGGGAATTGTTTTTGTCAGACACGGCACCAGCACAGAGCAGGGTCAGAC